TGCAAATGGAGAGAACTTAATCAGTTATTATTTATATATATAATTCTTTATAATTACATTGTTTTATTAAAAGAGAATTAGTTATTATTTTACGTATAAAATTCTTTATAATTACTTTCCTTGTTGTGCACTGTTGTTGAACATATACAAGCAAGGCAAAGCACACCTGGCATGTATCAAACTGTACATGCCGAGATTAAGTTATTGCCTGTTTCAACCGCAACGAGTTGAATCACAATAGCTAGTTTTATAGCTGTTGACTGCTTTGGGAGTTTTTTTAAAGGCATTTTGGAATATTTTTTTATTGCTTTAGTAATGCCATTTAAATATGTTATGGGCATAAATATCACATATATGGAGATGAAATAACTAATGGATTGGTGGATTTTAAGTGATTTCATTGATGATAATTTTGAGAGTTTTTTTTATTGAGAAAAATCAAGTGTTCATAAAAGAAGACACTTGAAAGCTTCTTTTTGGTAGCATCTCTATCAATCTCTCTTAGGCATTCTGCAAGGACGTTTTGTGCTTTCTTGTGTATTTATAGCAATCTAGAATAGAAATTTTATAGCTAAAATTTGTAGGTGATAACCTTTAATCAACTCCATAGTGTTGAAAACTTTGCCTGTATTTTGATTTTTAATATTGTATTTTTCAAGCTCTGGAGGAGTTCAAGAGATTAGTTGTAATTTGTAAAGCTTTTGGGTTGATGTGCTTTTGTCGGAATAAAAAGTTGGAATTCATCTTTGAATGAAGTCTATTGTGAAGCTTTCTACACCTTCTTTTGGAGTGAAGGATTTTGACTCAAGGTAGCATGTTTGTTAGTGAAATCCTAATTTTGATGGAGATTAGGCATAATGTAGACTGATTGGGTGCTAAATCGTGTAAAAATAATTGTAGCCGTTGTTCTTTACTTTAGATCTTTTATTATTGCATTTTTTTACTTACTTGTTTCATATGCCTGAATGTTCATGTGGTGATTCTTATATTTAATGCTCTTATGTCATTGTGATTTAATAAATTTAATTAATTCTGCTTAAAGTTTTGTACTGCTACATATCTCAAAGATCTTGTAATCACCAACATTAATGTTTGGGGACACTCTCTAGGTCTTTGATGTTTTGTTGATTTAAGTGATTTATAAGCTTATGTAGTTCAATATATACACTACATCGAGCTTGGTAGTTTAATTGTTCACACACATATATAGCTTGTCTTTGCTACAACATAAGTGTGCACTTGGACGTTATCTAGCCTATTAACTATGTGTTCTAGGGTGTAATATCATCTTGATTTTGGTAATATTTGTACTCACATATTAGTTTATCAGATCTTTTCCATTTTGTACACAAATGTTTGTACACTTTTTGTGTGTTTGGTTTTTGTAATTGATTAATTATTGATTTACTTAAACATTTTGGATTTCGTGGGTCTTAAGTGAAGAAGAATTTTTGAAGAAATTTTATAGTGCTGCAGCGCACCCAATTGAACGCACTTTGCCACATTGGTGTTCCTTTAAGCTAAAATGCATAGCTTTTGTGATCTATAATTTCTTCTTCTTAATTTCTACTAGAATATGAAGATAGTTTCTCTTGAATTGGAAATTAACTTTTTTTAATTGAAGTAAATAACTATTTTGAGATTAATATCTTGTTTTATCATGAAAATTTAATGTTTATTATTACATTTTAAAATTGCATTAGAAATTTTAGACCGTAGAATGTTATATTTCAGCAGACTTAAACCACTCAGCACTTGTTAAAGGAAAATTTACAGCAAGCCATGTTTTTAGCTTATGAATGTGCTTGTATTAGTTGTATATGCACTCCTGGGTTTTACAGAAACCTTACTTTTGCATTTTTGAACCACACCTCTTCGGAGCTTCTGTGTTTTTCATTTTGGTTTCTATACAAACGTGTAAGAACTTGAAGCCAAAGCTATATTCCTTTCGGATAACAGTCACTTTTCCATAGTTATTAACACTTCACAGTAATGCTGCTAAACTCCAATTTTTATTTCTGACTTCCTACGCTTAATCTAAAACAAAATCTATTGATAAACTAGATATTTATAAGTCTCTATGTCCACTGCTATACACTTGAGAAGAAGTTATATTTTCATGCTTCTTGTTTGCATAGGCTGATAACTTCATAACTAAAGTCACTGTTCTGGTTGATTTCTAAATGATATTCTTTGAGATAACATTAGCAGCATCTGCCACTCTCTCTGATGAAAATGGAGCATTAGAATCTCGAGACCATTGGACAAAGGCATTTGAGCTTTTGTCTGACCAAAATCATGGCTGTACCCTTTAATCAGTTTATATACTGTATACGGTAAAGGTATGTAAAGACGTATAAATGAATACAGAATGCAATATACGCTTGCTGCGTTTGCTTTTATCATTCTCTAGTTGTATTTCTGTTCTCTGCTTGCAAGTTTCCTGTTCTTCTCCAATAACAGAGCTCCACATTATCAGTAGGAAGACCTTTCTCAAACTTTTATTCAAATGCTTGCATTAAATGATTATTGATGCGCTTTTCTTGATGTATTCATTAGCAAACAAACCTTTATGCAGTGTTTCCTTCTAGTCATATGTAATGTTTTTTATATTTCTCTAAGGGGCTGTTTGGTAGCACCTATGATTTGATTTAAGTAGGATTTCGTAAATCCTTTAAATCTGGATTTCGGAAATTCTGAAAGGCCTAAATACTGAAAACTGTTTGGTAACATTCATGATAAATCCTATTAAATTCCGTGTGACTGTTTGACTATAAAGCGGATTTAACAAGCGGACTCTTCCTCTCCAGCCAACGGATTTCGTAAATCTGGCAAAAAACAGGATTTCGGAAATCCGGGTTTGATCATGGCTGAGGTGGACTTGGTCAGGTTTGTATATTGGGTCCGGTTCACTACTTACAGGTCAACATAAACTACTTTATGAAGGTGGAGATCAACCAAAAAAAGGTTCCACTGTAACCATTTTTGGTCTGGGAGTTGTTGGTCGTGGGGTAGCAGAAGGTGTAAGAATTGTCGGAGCATCACGAATTATTAGTGTTGACTTCACCACAAATCAATTTGAGGGAACAAGAAAGCTTGGTATAAATGAGTTTCTGAATCCCAAGGATTATGATAAGCCAATTTCATCTGCTTATGCTACTATTGAGAAATTAAAGATTGGTAGGCAAATTGATATCGGTTGGAATTATCCAGACCGATTTAGCCAACCAAACCCGCCTCCTCATGGTGGCCAATCAGACATCTTCCTATGAGCCTGAAGTTCCTCCTATCCTGGTAGTATGACGTCGGAGCTGAGCTAATCAATCATATTAAACTTCATGCTATATTAAGTCCATTTGATAGTATGTGGCTATATATTTGCTTTCTTTTATTGACTATAGCCTTTTATGCTTCGATATTTGTCTATATATATTTGTAGACCATGCTTGTAAGAAGGAGATTTGGAGATTAATAAAATTAGAGTTTTACTCTCTTGTGAATTTTTGTATCCTAAGATTGTTCTTAGGTGGTGGTTCTTGCTCCAAGGAGTTCTTGGAGTGGTGTCCGGAGACCGTCACCGGATCATTGACGTGGATTTGTCAAGCCCCCTCCGATCAGGTGTCAGATATTCTTTGAGATAACATTAACAGGATCTGCCACTCTCTCTGATGAAAATGGAGAAGCCACCTTAACTTGATATCTCGAGACCATTGGATGAAAACTAACCAAGAAATTTACGTCTTACACATATAAAGGCATATGAGCTTTGTCTGAACAAAATCATGGCTGTCCCCTTTAATCAGTTTATATACTGTATACGGTAAAGGTATGTAGAGACGTATAAATGAATACAGAATGCAATATACGCTTGCTTCTTTTGCTTTTATCATTTTCCAGTTACATTTCTGTTCTCTGCTTGCAAGTTTCCTGTTCTTCTCCAATAAAAAAGCTCCGCATTATCAGTTGGAAGACCTTTCTCAAACTTTTATTCAAATGCTTGCATTAAATGATTATTGATGCGCTTTTCTTGATGTATTCATTAGCAAACAAACCTTTTTGCAGTGTTTACTTTTAGTCGTATGTAATTTTTTTAAATTTCTGTAAGGTGCTGTTTGGTAGCATCTAGGATTTGATTTAAGTGCGATTTTGTAAATCCTCTAAATCCGGATTTCGGAAATCCTGAGAGGCCTAAATATTGAAAATTGTTTGGTAACATTCATGATAAATCCTATTAAATCTCGTGTGATTGTTTGGCTATAGAGTGGACTCTTCCTCTCTAGCCAGTGAATTTCATAAATTCGGCAAAAAACAGGATTTCGGATATTCGCCTTATTCGGGATTTAGCACGAAAGGTGAAATTTTTCGTCAACAGCGGCTTTCATTTGCCGTGAGATTTGGTATTGCATTTTCAGCCTCAAATCCGGTCTAAATCCTGCTACCAAACAGCCCCTAAATCTCTGGTAATCTCAGTTCTACAAATGGGAAAAATTTTGGGTCATAATGGATTTAATTTTCATTGGATTCATTTTGAGTGAATACTACAACAACAATAACAACATCAAGCCTTTATCCCACTACGTGGGGTCGGCTACATGAATCCTTTTTCTCCATTGTTAGGAGGGAATGAAACATTAAATTTAATTGATTTAGGAACATTAAAATACATGGTGATCAAATTATGATTTGAATATTCTGACCCAAATTTGCTCCTAACAAATGTGATGTGATTGCACAGTTGACTGTCAGTGATTGTAAACAATCTTTGCTTTATTGCTGTCCATAATGAATGTTATTGTGCCTTTGTTCCCTTCAGCATTATCTCTTTGTTTCATCTTTAAACCAGCTAGCAAAATTATTAGATTCCATAAAGCTTGTTTATACTTATCTGTTACATAATTGTGGATGAATTGCTTTGGGTACAATTATGTAGTTGAAACCTCAATGATGGTTAGGTTTGTATCATTGCATTCTCCACTTAGTTTTTTTCCTCTTTTCTTCAGGCAATGAGATCTCTAGCAGGGCTACCCACTACTACAGCTCAACTGCTTTCCAGATCAAGCTGGGGTTTGTTTGCTCATCTCTTATTATAGGATATTGCATCATCAAACACATGCTTAGATTTAGCAAAGATCAGCGGTGAAATTTAAAATATATATATATATATATATATAAAAGAAAATTTTTGTTTTATATAAGAGATGAGCAAACATACCCCAGCTTTGGTATTACGTGGGACCAAATTTTCGACCCCGTGTCAGAATTCAAAGATCAGTCAGAGTTCGCAAGTATGCAGTCCACCGGTGACGCGTTATTTTCTTTTTAATCATTACTAAATACGAAATTCCAAAACAACATTTGCATTCTATCTTGCCTTATGAATCCACCCCCACTCTTTCCAAATTTGCACTCCATATCCATTACGGAGAATAGTTGTAGAGATGTAAGGCTGTTAATATGGGATCACGGGTAGGTTCGAATTCAATCTGGAACTGATCCAATACTAATTGACTTAGCTAAAACTTGACCCATTTTATAAATTAGTCAGATATTTCAATGCAAACCCGACCTGCAAAGGATATCGGGTTGATCCAACCCTACCCGTGGACATGTTTTGATTCAAAAAGAAGCGAGTACGAGTCTGCAACGGAGACCGCGGTTAGGGCGATATGAAGGAGACGGTAAGTAGTATGCAGTCGACGATGAATCTAGGAAAGGCGCACGATCAGGTTGGCGCTAACAGCGATACGCGCGAGGGTCCGTAGTCTGCCGGAGCGGGCGTTCATGAGACGAGCCGCTTGGACAGATCATGGCGTTGTGGTTAGTTTTGGGTTTCTGGGTGAATCCAAACTCGACCTGGATTTATAAACAGTCGGATAGTCGAATCCTAACCTGATCAGTATAACAAACAGGTTGACCCGAACCTAAAATTTTTAGGATCAAATTTTGAAATCCTTAAAGAGAAGTCCTCATGAAAGAGACATGAAGAAGCAGACATATTCATAAGCTATTGTTTCGTCTCAGCAATTAATATGAAAGAGGGCTACAGAGATTCTTAGAATCGTTTGCAATTATGCGCACGTGTATGATTATGAATGGCAGTCATAAGATTTTATTCTTTTTCATGATCTTTATTTTATTATTATTTAATTTCATGGTGTGCTTAAGTTGTTTGTGTGTGCATGTCACAACATGGATGGAATCCAATGAGTAAATTTATAGGTGTTTGTTAAAGGATCAGATTTTCAATGAGCTTTATTTGATCGGCATTTTTTTGTTATCTTTCTTCTCTTTCACTATGATTTCAACTTCGTTTGGGAAGATTTTTTTGTTGCTTCTTAAAGCAGCTTTTTAGTACATGAAACAATAAGAAAGTCGTTCCAAACGAAACATTTATGTGCATTCCAAACTTAGCCAAATTGGTAGGCCAATTTCAAATATAAGCATTTCACGGAAATCTGAAATATATCGATTGCGATTTCTAATATCCTATAGAGACTTAATAACATTTTGAGTATCTTTTCTTAATTTCACTATATGCTTAATTATTTAGCATTAAATTTCTCAGTGCTTATTTGATTACTTCTAAGGTTTTATTTGAGACAGTTTTTTTTATTATTTTTTAAAACAAATTTTTAGTATAAAAGTTTAAATTTTTATACAAGAAAATGCTTTAAAAAGCAGCAAATAAGTCGTTTCAAACGAAACCTAAATAGCAAATATAATTTGAGCGTGAAAATGAACTCATCATATTTTAAAAAAAAAATTATAAATACTTTTGAAGTATAAAATCAATATTTATGCCTAATTACATTCAACTAATAGTGAATTTAACCTTTACATTGTTTTTTTTAAAACTATTTCTATTCACAAACAACTAAATGAGCATTAAAAAAATATGTTGGTTGAAGCTTTAGAACCCAAATATGAACATTTATTTGTAGTTTCCAAGTAATCTTAGCTGGCTTCATTTAATTTATAAACCACAACAATAAAATATGCATTTCAACTAAACCCACATTGCACCATCATGAATTCAAGGGCATGTCCATCGGAAATTCTGCCGCTATAGTTTAGGATTCCGTCGGAAAATATTCCGCTAGTTAACAAGAAAAGCAATCGGAATATTTTTCAGCAGAAATACATTTCATATGTGTTTATTGGCGATGGATGAGATTTCGTAGGAAATCCACCAGTATACTTATTTATCGGTGGAATTTTGAAAGTTTTCGACGGATTGAGCGGCTGCAAATTGATGATTTTTCTGTAGTATATACCTCTAAAATCCTACATAGAATTAACATAACTTAGGTGATTATGTGAAGCTTGGCTTAGTAATGGTTTATGCTGCAATGATTCCATGGGACAGCTTTTTTGCTGCTTTTTAAAATAATTTTTTTACTGTAAAATTTTTGTACTAAAAATTATTTTAGAAAACAAACCCTAACGAATCCTAAAAAAATAATTTTCTTCGCAATAATTTTAAGATTAACTTTATAAAAAGATGCATCTGTCTCAAACGGGTCTAAAATTGATTGCATAATTAAGCAGTACTATTTTGAATTTTCATCTTATGAAAAGAGAGCACTAAGCATTATGATAAATTAATGTTATGGGTAGCCTTTTTGACTTTCATTGTAGGGCTAGCTTGGATCATATATGACTTATGGAGCCCTTCAATATTGTACAAGACCTGCCAGCTGCTAATGTGACAGTCATCATTTTAATAAAATCATCATCCTTCCTAGCTAAGGGCATATTCAATGGAGAACTCCATTTTTTACGGCAAAATACAACAAAACTCTAAAATATCGTGGTGCTGCTTCAATCGAACTGCATTTTAAGTACTTCTGCGAAGGTAACGATCCTTTTCTCTTTCGTGTGTTTTTCCGGTTGAGAAAGCAAAATAGCGTAGATGAACAGTGCAACGCCAATATTGACGTTGCACTGTTCACCCGCGAGTAAAAGACGGAAGATTTGGCGATCGGTTGGAGCGACCGAACGACGTCATACGGACATTTGACGTTCTGTTGGAGATGCTAAGGATGCATCTATAAAATTAATAAGAGGATGTAAATGAATAAAAAATTAATTAGAAAAAGGATGTAAGTGAATCTAAAAATAATAAAAAAAAAATTAAAACAAAAAAGAGGATGTAATCTCAGCTTAGACTTGGGACTATACTTTTAATGTTTTTAAATAAATTTTTAGTATAAAAGAATAATAAAAAAGTTATCTCAAAACGAAACCTATAGAGCAATTTTTTTGCCACTATATAAGATTATACATATTTATTATGGAACAAGTAGAAATATTAAACTTATTAAATTATATTTTTTAAAACTTTATTAAAATAAATTTAATATTTAAATGCTCATTTATCTTAAAAAACATTATGCATGTTTATAGTTTGATAAGCTCGGAGCGAGAAGCTCGATAAACACAAAACGAGGAGCTTCACAAATATAAACTAACAAAATACAACCAAGCATGAAAGCTCGAATCAAGCTCCAACGTAGTTCGAACATGCTTTGGCTAAACTAGCTCGAGCTCAAACAGTCATAGTTCGGCTCGATTCGAATGTTTCATTTGCAAAAAAAAAAAAATCTGCAAATGTTCACCAGACCCGGAAGTAGGATAAATAATTTGGTGCAGAGTCCGGATATAGCTCTACGTCCAGACGTCGATAAAATAGTGCCACGTGTTGACCTGCCGACGTGATGAAATTTTATTATTTCTCGTGTCTTTTCCAGCTTACCATGAGACCCTAGTCCATACGAGAAAAATTGAAAAGAAACGTGCCAATAACTAGGGTTTATGATACTGACAGACTATTTTTGCTACTTGAGAGTGAATATGCTGATTAATAAAATTAATTAAATCTAGATCATGAAAATCAGAAAACACATACAAAAAAATATTATTATTAATTTAGGCGTGCTAGATAATAAGATCAATTATTCATTAATTTTATGATACAAAATTATTTAAATTAAAAATATTTTTTAGGTCATGTATAAAATGTCATAAATAATAATTTAAATAACTTTGATTCAAAATACATATACAAAATAATTTTTTTAGTGATGGTGATTAAGGATCTGTTTCTGATAGTTGAACTTTTTTTAAAAAAATGATTATAAAATTGTTATGAAAAAGTTACTTCTTCAAAACAATTATATAAAATTTTTATAAAAAAAAATCTTGAAAATAACAAATATAATGTACCCAAATAGAAATTAGGTTTATGATCTGAAAAATAAAATAATAAGAAAGTTATCTCAAACGTAGCCTAAGGGATTATTTTAGGATTGCTTTCTCCTTGTTTTGTTTTTCATCTAGAATTTTTTTTTTGCTATTACATTCTTATTGTTTTTAGAAATTTTTTTTATGATTTTTGTTTCAATAAGAGTAGTTAAGTTCCTTTCTCCAATTATGGGTGTCAAAACGGGTCCACATGTCGTGTTCGAGTTGAACCCGGATTTACTCGGATTGACCCGGATCTAAACGGGTTAACCCTAACCTAACTTGTTTTTGCAAACAGGTCAGAAAATCCAACTTAGACCTGACCCACACTAGTTACTGAGTTGACCCGACCCGACCGCAAACCCAGGGATGAGCTATGCACCTGTGCGGACTGCGGACGTCGGAAGAGCTATGAAGAACGAATTTAGGGTGTGCGGAAGTCACAAGAGCAGGCAGACTGACAGGTGCAGACGCCTCGGTGAGGGCAAATGTGGCCGTGCCAGGCGAAGGGCAGACGAGTTGTGTGATCACAGAGCAGACGACAGAGGGAAGAGGCGGTTGTGCCAGACGAATTTCAAGTCGTGTGCGTTGTGGACCTGTGGTGTGACGAATTTAGGGTGTGCGGAAGTCTGAATAAACCTAGCCCTAGGCGTAGTTTTTAAATGGATCAATCGGGTCATTTTTAGGTTTCTGGGTCAACTCGAATCCTACCCAATTTTTAAAACGAGTTGACTTGCTGAACCCGAACCCAACTCGTATGTCAAACGAGTTGGCCCGAATCCTGAATTTTTCAAATCGGATTTCAAGTCGTGTCAAATATTGACACCCCTACATTCAATCATCTATTCAACAAGAGTAATTAAAGATCACACACTATCACATTTTTTTTCTTTT